TGCCTCCGTGTCGCTACATGCTAGCGGCCGTTTCCGGGGGCCCATTAATTGAGTTTGCCAGTCACCCCCTGCCTGTTTATCCGTATGTATCAATATTGGTCAGGGGCAGGGGCCATAGTATTTCCATAGTTATCATATCCACCAGTCCATAGCAACCCATACCCATAACCCTTTCGTTTATTACCACAATTCGCAATAGTCTTGCATCAACCGGGGATTATCCTTGGGTGCACTTTCATAGTGCAAACAGGGATAATTGCCGGCTGATGTCCCATCACATTTAGATTAAAACTGTTCAAAGGGCCTCTGCGAGTTGGCTTCGGCCCCTCGTACGCCTTCCAAAGGTCCGGGATCCTATGATCCCGTGAACGGAAACGAACATACAAATAATAATAATAATAATAAGCCCGCAGGGCACCTTGAGGCGAGGTGACGGGAATTAGCGATCCCGCGGGCTACCATCATCCCGATTGCTCCAGGGAGGAGTCACCGTTCCTTATCTCCGGCTTGCCTTCATTGGCTGGTCGGAGTGAACGATGACGAGGAACAGGTCTCCCACCTCTGGCTTGCCTTCATTGGCCGTCCAGAGTGGAGTCGCGAGAGTAGTGATCCTGCTCGGAGGGTGGAAGCTGTTCGTAAGCGGCGAGTGGGCCAGTGATGCAGGATGCTTAGGCAGATGCAGATGATCTGAGTAGAAAGCTGGTGGCAGTTTCTTCACCCTTCAGCCACTCACATTTCCGTTGTCCCTCTGTTGCTATTACTAGCAACCATTCCCGGGGGCCCGGTCGGTGAGTTGGCGAGTCTCCACCTGCCATTTTTACGTGTATTTATTACATTGTTTCGGCAGGTGCCATAGTCCTTCCATAGTTCCCATCATACCAGCCCATAGCAACCCACACCCATAACCTTGTACTTTGTTTCCATTATCCGCAATAGTCCTACACTAACCGGGGACTGTCCTTGGGTGCATTTCCATAGTGCATACAGGGAAAGTCGCCGGTTTGTGTCCCATTTCATTTAGATTAAAGTTGTCTAAAGGGCCTCTGCGCAGTTGGCTCCGGCCCCTCGTACGCCTTCCAAATGACCGGGACCCTGTGGTCCCGTGATTGGTAAAGACATACAAATAATAATAATAATGTATTTATTTCTAAAAATAATACAGATTTAAACTTAAGAACTAAAAATTAATGAAAATATATTACTGAGTAGTACAAAAGTTTGCCCTGATTGGTAGTATCAGAATTACAATAAATAAGTTGCAGAAAATCTGTACACAATATTGATAAACCCTGCCTCTTAAACTAGGGTAACCTGTATCTTAAGAGACAGTGTTTGACTAATTATGATTACTTCAATAATGGACTGTGTCGATCTACCATGTGCTTTATGCTTTATACTAAATAAAATTAAATATAGAATAGCCTAGATATAGGAGGTACCATGCAATACGTGTATGTGTGTGTGTGTGTGTGTGTGTGTGTGTGTATGTGTGTGTGCGCGTGCATTTATATTTGTATATTAAGCGATTAAGTTATGTATGTGAGTAAGGATTCTGTTTGTGAATAGTCCTGTTGTAATAGCCATTCCGTCACTTTTGACTTGAGATTAAATTTATTTAGGTCAACTATGTTGATTTTCTTTTGTAAATTTTTGTACATATATGTACTTAAGGTGTAGAATTGGTGTTTAGCAAAGGTGGTTTTGTGCTGAGTACTTGCGGGAAGGTTGGTTCGTTTGTTTGGATCCGATCGAGGGACGCTAGCATGTCTTCTAAGAACAGACCGTAGCACGTATAGCTGACGGACTGTTAATACTTTAGAATCTGAGTACAGCTGTGTTGTAGGATAGCGGTAAGGTTTCCGTAGCATCACTTTTAGTATGGCTCTCTGTGCTCTTTCTACTCTGAGAAATTTCGTTTTAAAGGCACCACCCCACACGGTGATGCAGTACCCGACTACAGTTTGACATAGTGCATAGAAGACCATTTTGAGTGTATCAAGATCAGCTGACTTCCGGAGGGACTTAAAGATTTGTATGAGTCTTATAGTTCTAGTGGTGAGGGCATCGATTTGTTTATCCCATCGCAATCTTGCGTCTATTTGTACACCCAAATACCGTACGCTCTCGGATCTTGTTAACGCTGTGCATACACACGAAGCTAATGATAATTGTGGACATGTGTGCGCCATTATGGTGAAGGTACGGTCTGGAGCGGAATTTTGGCGTATGGAGAATGGGACATAGGCAGTTTTGTCAAAGTTAAGAGTAAGTAGATTTACGTTGAGCCATTTCAATACTTCCATTAGTGCTGCTTCTGCATTACTCTTAACATTTTCCCACGTTTTCCCATATACTATAATCGCGGTGTCATCAGCGTAGGCGTAGATTTTGGTGTTAGGGAGGTTTATTTTACACAAATCGTTTACATAGATTTGGAACAGCGTGGGGCCTAAGATGCTTCCCTGAGGTACACCGTAGCCTATTGATTCCTCGTCACTATAATCACCATCAATTTTAACTCTCTGTGTGCGGTTGTTAAGATAATCTTTAAAGATTTCAAAAGATTTTCCTCGTATGCCTATCCGTTCCAATTTAGAAAGAAGCAAGGGAACAGAAACTGTGTCGAATGCTTTGGAAAGGTCTAGAAAAATTCCAAGACACTTATTTTTACTGTCAAGATTTCTAGCAACAAACTGCGTCAGATCTAGCACAGCGTCCTCGGTTGAAACTCCGGCACGAAATCCATATTGATTTTCTGCTATAATCTTATACTTCTCGAGGAATTTCTTAAGGCAGTTATTGAGAATCCTTTCCAGAACCTTTGAGAGCGCTGTCAAAACCGAAATTGGCCTGTAATTGTTGACACAGCTTCTGTTCCCCCCCTTGTAAATAGGATGGATTATTGCTTTTTTCAGGGCATCTGGGAAAATACCCTTTCGTAAGCAGCTGTTAAAGATGAAAGTTAAAGGCTTTGTCAAAGTCTCGCGGCATGCTTTCAATAGTATTGGGGATATACCATCCCACCCAATTGCGCAGTCATTGCGTAGTTGAAGGATGAGGGACTCTACTTCGGTTTCATCTACTTCCAGCACCACAAGAGAGTTTGGGGGGGAAAATTGATTGTATGATGACGTTGCAGGAGTATCACTAAAGGGCGATATTCTACCCGCCAAATTTTTTCCTATATTACTAAAAAAGTGGTTGACCTCATTTAGGGACGATTTAGGACTATCACACAATTTTAATAAATCTGCAGGACTAGTTTTAACTTTACGCGTGTTGGTTATTTCTTTAATTGTGTTCCAAAGAGCTCTGGGGTTATTTTTTGACTTTTCAAGTTCCCTTTTTTCGTAGGCAATTTTTAGTTTTCGAAGTAACGCATTGCAAAAATTTCGATAACGCGTATAGGTGATTTTTTGGATAATGTTATCTGGTGCTTTTTTTGATTTTGAATGCAACTTGTCACGATTTTTAATACACCTCATAAGCCCGGGGGTGATCCAGGGCTTGATGATTCTTTCTTTTCTTGGAGTTTTGGTGTGTTTGGTATGTTTGGCAGTAACATCTGTTAAAATGGTTATAAAAGTGTTCATAGATTTATTTGGGTCATTGGATTTGTATATATCCGTAAAATCAACATTCAGTAATTCTAACCTAACTGCTTCGTAGTTAACGCTAGTTGAGATGTGGCATGATTTTCGTTGGGGATAAATTGTTGCGAATGAAAGGAGGAGCGGTCTGTGGTCAGTGATGTGTGAGTCTAGAACTAGTGTAGTGATAGGTAATTTAGTTTTTACGAGAGTGTGGTCGATGCAGCTATCAACACGTGTGGGAAATAAGTGGGTAGGCATAAGCCCATGCGAGGCATTTAGAGCTAAATACTCGAAGCTTCGGTCATTTCACACATTTTCACACGCGCAGTCGTAGCCGCTGCACTACTAGCAGGAGGCGAGCCGTAGTAGGTTCGTAGCACACGTAGGCGTCGTAGCGGTGCACACGGTGTGTGGTGGCGTGACGTCAGCTGCGCGTAGCGGGTCGCTGTTTGGTGGCCGGCTGCCACTCGCACGATGGCGCGATGAGTAAGCGCTCGGTCCACAACCGCCGATGCACCGAGTGTCGCGGGTTCGGATCCAGCAAATCACAGTCACTTTTGGGATTCCACTTTAAAAGTTAATTACAAAAACAATATGCGTCCTCTTCTAGGACCGCCCAGTGGGTGTAGCCGACAGGTAAGAACACTTAAGGAGCGACAAGGAATTGGTTTTAACAAACTATGACCAATCACAGAATTTAGCGCGCAGAATTTGTTACGATGATCGACACACGTCCACTCTATACAATGCTCACCGGACGAGTTTTCTTTGTAAAACAAAGTCGTTTTCTTTGTCCCTATACCCCTATATACGCTTAAATCTTTAAAACTACGCTACGAATTCGGATGTCGTTTTTTCAATAGATAAAGTGATAGAAGGGGAAGGTCTCTATGTATAGCAGCATTCATGAAATAGTGGAAAAAATTAGTAAGTATCAGCATTGCACCCGTGCGAAGCCGAAGAAAATCTCTATTTCATCAACAAATCAAATTCTCTTATCTAAGTTGTGTTCTTTAGAAGTTGTTAAGATAAGGTTTATATGAAGGTGATACCACGGCTTCAGAGAAAACTGCCATAAAACTGAGGTTCTTTTTTGTTTTGTTTAAAAAAAACGTTGCCCCACATTAGGATTTTCTCCTGTGTCGTAGGCGGTCGCGGTTACAAACATACAATTTCACATACACATGACACCCAGACCTGGAACAACAATTTGTGGATCACACAAAGAGTTGTTCCGCTCGGAAATCGAACCCGCGATTCTTTGCACGGCAGCCTGTTGCCCAGCCACCGCACCAACCGTGCAGTCGGTTACTGAAGACCTAATCCTTTCCCCGCTCCCCTTACCGCAAATCCCCCTGAAAATGGGACAGAATGAAAAATAAAAAGATTCTCATCAATTCTACTTACTCATCAAGCTTCATCCCCATAACCTTCGAGTTGAAGGTCTCAGAATATAGCCTCATAGAGGTGGTGATGGATTTAGGAGCCCAGTAAAACATCAGGTTGTCAAGCAGCTGGTCTTTTGAGAAACGGAAGGTTAGACCACCATCAGGTTTCTGACGATGTTCGGGTCGCGTCCATGTGGAAAACTTCTCCAAGATGTATGCCAGAAGACCGGTTGGTGAGTCGGAAAGACCGATACCTGGAAATAGATACATAGGTAGTAAGTAGGTTTGATTTGGATCGTATAGTGAAGATTCGGAATGGGTTAATTAACACATAGCAGAGGAAAAAATCTCCATCCATTCTTTTGAGTATTTTTTGTCTTATTGCTAGAATAGTCTCAAGTAAGTGTGGGAGAGCCAAGCTTCGGCACGAATGGGTCGGCTCGACCGGAGTGATACCACGGCCTCACAGAATACCGGCGTGAAACAACCCACAGCGTTGTGTTTCGCTGTGTGAGTGAGGTTTCCGGAAGCCCAATCCCTCCCCTTCCCCTATCCCTTCCCAATCCTTATATCCGCAACCCCCATCCCCAAAAGGCCGGCAACGCACTCGTAACTCCTTTGGTGTTACAGGTGTCCATGGGCGGCGCCGATTGCTTACCATCAGGTTATCCGTCTGTTCGTTTACCGACTTATACCATAAAAAAAAGTGTGATTTGTGAGCAAAAGATCTCTTCAAACCCTTATATCCAACGTAGACGTAAAAGCCAAAGAAAGTAAATATAATGCTTTCTACTAATACTATTGTCCTTACGACTCCAATAGACTAACGAATTTAAATTACTTATTTGAATTGAAAAAAAAAAAACGTGAAAAATGTGTAGGTTAGCCAAGATCCGGCACGAATGGGTTGACTTGACCGGGGCCCTAGTCTTACCAGGACCTTATAGAAAACAGGCGCGAAACAACCACAGTGTTGTATTTCGCCATGTGAGTGAGGTTACCAGATGTCCAATGCTTCCCATCCCCCTATCCCTCCGCATTTCCTAAATCTTCGAAATCCTAATCTGATGTTGCCAATGCTCGATGGCGCCGATTGTTTACCATCAGTTGCCCGTCTGTTTATTTGCATAACATAAAAATAAAATCTTTCCATTTCTTAAGTATGATATCCATAAGCTTACCAACAGTATCAGGTTTGCTGGACTGAATATGCATGTATCCAGTTTCCTCAAGTAAATTGGAGAATCTCTTCTTCAGAGGGTACATTCTGTCTGCGAGGCGTTCTTCCACCACAAGGGAAGGGCGAAGGGAACCAACGAGTTCTATGAACGAGGCGAGAGGAGACATCGTTATTGCCATATTGGTGTGGAAACCTAAAATGTCCTGAAAAAAGAAGGAATTGTATGTGGATATCTGTTTTTATAACTGAGAAAATCTCTACCAAACGTAATGGTAGGCAGGTCGCCGCGACGCGCACTCTGCTCGTGAATAAAAATCATGCTGTAACTTAAAACTATAATAGTGAACTTTTCTCTGTTCATCCAAAAATCCAGTAGGAAATTCCATAGGATTTTCTTCTTTGTAGTGGGTGTGTTTTGAACTATTCTTGTTGTCCTGTAAATAATCTACTCTCGTGCAAGTTTTGTGACACTTTTTCTTTCTCAGTGTTCTATCTCAAAAAAACCGAATTAAATCAGAGCATAAAGGAAAAACTTACATCAGGGAAGAGAGTGACCATATTGCTGCCAATAAGACTGCCCCAATCACCGCCCTGGAGGTAGAACTTCTCGTATCCCAGTCTTTTCATTAGATTCTTCATAACTACCGCTACTTGTGGGGCTCCCAGGCCGGGTCGAACTGCAGCCTAGAAAATTTCAATGATATCAGTAAGTCAGGTCGTATAAAATAGCACGTGGTTGTACTAAGGACTCGCATACTCGCAACCTGACGAGGGTAAAGTCGAATGTCTCGCTAACTGTGTTGCGCAATATGCACTGCTCATGAATAGCTTGAAACTAGTGGAGTTTCTCGTCAAGCAGTTACGTGAGTAACATAATAATGAATTAAATATGTCTCAGGAAAATATCTCTTTTTTTTATGTAATAGGTCGGCAAACGAGCAGACGGATTACCTGATGGTAAGCAATCAGCGCCGCCCATGGACACTCGCAACGGAGGAGTTACGAGTGCGTTCCCGACCTTTTAGGGATTAGGGATTTAGAGATTTAGGGATTGAGGAGGGATTGGGGGAGGGGAAGGATTGGGCCTCCGGTAACCTCACTCACACGGCGAAACACAACGCTGTGGTTGTTTCACGCAGGTTTTCTGTGAGGCCGTGGTATCACTCCGGTCGAGCCGACCCATTCGTGCCGAAGCATGGCTCTCCAACACTTAACCTCGTTAAAGTTTCGTTATATTTTCGTCAAAGAACCAGTAGACCATTACAGATGAAGCCCAACAGGGCAATTTACTGCACAGATTAGTTGACACTCCTAACACCTAATACGATACAAGTGCGTTGTCGACCTTATGTTTGTTATTAGGGATTTAAATATAGGAGATTTCAAGAATGAGGATGGGGACTCACACGGCGAAATAAAGCGTAAGGGTTGTTTCACGCCGGTATTCAGTAAGGGTAATAAGTGTGGGAGAGCCAAGCTTCGGCACGAATGGGTCGGCTCGACCGGAGTGATAGCCCGGCCTCACAATATACCGACGTGAAACAACCACAGCGAGGCCCAATCCCGCCCTTTCCCCTATCCGTTCCCGATCCTTATATCGGCAACCCCTATTCCCAAAAGGCCGGCAACGCACTCGTAACTCCTTTGATGTTGCGGGTGTCCATGGGCGGCGTCGATTGCTTATCATCAAGTAATCCGTCTGCTCGTGGACCGACTTATACCATAAAAAAGGCCATGGTATAACTCCGGCCAAGCAGACCCATTCGTGCCGAAGTATGAGTCTCCCACACTAACTATATACTAATTACGTGCAAAATCTCTGGTAGTAACGTAAATGAGGAATGCCATTGTGCTCCCGTCCCCTCTTTACATTTAATTTAAATAATTAACATAAACTACTATAAATATTGTCCCACTGTGGGTCAAAACCCTTTTATCAGGCAGATGCGAAAGGGGACAGATAACGTGTGCTAAAATTGCAGTATTGCAGATTTGAAGAAGCCCTTTAGAAAAACAGTCTAAATATTTGTCCTTGAGGTTATTTTCCTTTTCAGATTCTTTGGCTAAATTAGTGTTACACTGCTTTTACATAATGGAACCGACTAAATAATGTTCGGACCATGGAGTTGGTAGCTCGTTGTTCTCCATAGGAATCTATACTTTGGAACGTGCAAATTGCTTTACTAGAGAATAATAAGTGACTTAATATTGGTATTATTTTTATTTGTTTGATGTTCTAAAGTGCCTTTATTAGTAGTCTATTTGACTTTAACTTTGAGAAAAGTTTTGGTCCTCTACCAGCCAGTTTCAGTAAAATAATCTGTCTGTACAATAAATATAATTATACATAACGCATTTTCTATGAAATATTCTTAATATTTGCCCTCTGAATATTCTCTCTCATTAAAAAATGCGTCTTATATTTTATTGTTTCATTATTACCTACTAAACAGAAATAAAATTATCAATAACATTATCGAAACAAGTAATTAATTACCATTACACAATAGTAATCAAAAACATTTTTCATCCTTAGTTTGGAATTTGTTTTTCAATATTTTGTCAACAAATCATGACATGGCAAGATATTAAATATATATATTTAGAAATATATGTAGGTATCTGTTTTAACATCACATCTTTAATGAGATGATATTTTTTGTTAAGTCAATATGATGTACAATTTTAACTTCGTTCAACATAATAATATAAATAGCATTTTTTTTAAGTACTCGCTAAGGCTTTTGACAAATTGGCCTAGTGGCCTCTAAATTAAAGTTCTCAACTAGGTAAGCAAATGCGACTTCAAAATGAAATAACTGTATCACTGAGAGTAACTCGACCCATGGGTTCGAACTTGAGTCAGCATGGGTAGAATTGGATCATTTTTTCATGTAAAATGAGACGAAAAGGCAGTCGTGTCACTTGATAGAAAGCTATCAGCGCCACCCATGGACACCTCTGCAATATTAGAAGCGCCTTTTAAGAAAGATAACGATCGTTACATGGAGGATATAATTGTCGTATGATTAGCAAAGAGATCAATATAGTTTTGAAATATTAGTAGGTATACAACATTCACAATGTCACCCACTTTCTATTAGCAGAATCCACCAATTCTGTCATGAAACTTAGGCTAATGGAGTTAATCCTATTGCCGTACAAAAAACCAAAAATTTTTTTGGCTTTTGACTTTCCGAAGCGACTTTTCTAATCTAAAAGTCATTTTGGATGGCCTATGTTGTTGAACAGTCTTATAACTGATAACTCAGATAAAGAGCATAAATACTTACATCAGAGAATCCATAACCAGGTAAACTTGGAACAATGACTTCCACAGCGAAGTCGCGGTCCTTACTGACTGCCGTGATGAGAGGAATTGATTCGTAGAACTCCCTGACAGAGCCGGGCCATCCGTGGAGGAGAAGTAGTGGTACAACCTCTACTCCAGCAGGCACCTGTAAAAGGACACAGATTATGCGAGTTTTGTTTTATCTGCACCCCTTTCAAATTTCTATCAGACCACTTCAGAAGGGGTCCAATAGAACCGATATCCAGCTTGGGATGTAGGTGCAATCCAGCAAGTGCAAGCAGCAAGAGTACCGTGATGCCAGCTCGGAGTAGAAGAAGGAACATGGTCCTTTAAGCTACTCTGACGCTCCCTCTTCCACCATCCAATTCGATTTTATTTTTTCTTTAGTAACGTTGGACGTAGTAACAAAAGGATTTTTTCCTGTGTCGTGGTCACAAAAGTGCTGTTCTGCGCGGGAATCACAGCCGCGACATGTTGTAGCCAGTTGCTCACCCACTACACCAACCACCAAACACCAGTGCAGTCACGGTCAATATCGACATTCCAAAAACTTAGATGTATATTTTTTTCTTCTTGGTCCTCCTTTAAGCGGGTCAAGTAGATATATTAATTAACATCCTGTCACTCAAATGTAGCATGACATTGTATAGAGAGGGACAAAAATGTTACCTCGGGACCAAAAATACTAAAACTTCTTACCTTCGGCGTAACCCTGATGAAGTGGATATCAAGACCCTGAATGTTGGTTTTGAACTGTGGGAACTGATTGAGGAATGTTTCCCTCTCCTTGAACTTGTACTCATTAGCCCAGTACTTCGTCCAGCTGTCTAGCTGAGCCGTGTTGAAGCCATACTCAAACGCTACCCCTTCCAGAGGAGGAGTGAAAGACCGAGACATTTTGAGACGGTCTTTTAAGTCTTTTATGGCCTGAAATTAGAAGAAATTTTCACTGTGATGTCTGTGCATTTCACTGTGATGTCTGTACGTTTATAAACATACAAATTGACATACACATCACACTCAGACCCAAAGCAACAATACTGATTGAAAAAGAGGAACCATGAGTTTCTTGCTCATTTCTCTCCATAGGTTCACACTTTGGAACGAGCATATAGCACTAAGAGGACTGCTCGATACATTGACTATTTTTATCTTTAAATCATTGTTTGAAGTTTGAAAAAGTTCATAATAATGGTTATATTGAAATAACTTTTGGAAAACATCTGCGATTTAATTGCCTTCCAGTAAAATTTAAAAATACACTAGAAGTAATGATAAAGGCTTTTGATTTTTGGAAGTTTTAACTTTAGAACATGCCAAAATTGTTCTTAAGAAAGGGGGGAGGGGGATATTTTTAACAGTTGAAATATTACGGCTGATGACGATGATCTAAGCAATTCACTTACCACGTCGTCGAAACTGATTTTAAATGGTTTTATACTGGTGTCTGATTTTTCTTTTAGCTTCTCTGGACCCCACCATTCGTTCGTATCTAAGTCCGGTAGTGAAGGAGGTCCTTTTAGGAACAAGTAGTATACTGGCATTATTGACAACGCCAGAATAGGCGCAACAAACAGCAGGCGCGCCATCTGCAAAGAAAAAAGGGAGAAAATTATATTGTGGGGCAAATCCATCCCGGAGTGATATCACGGCCTCGCAGAAAATCGGCGTGAAACAAACACAGCATTGTGTTTTGCCGTGTTAGTGAGGTTACCAGAGGCCCAATCCTTCACCTCGCCCAATCCCTCCTCAATCCTTAGTCTCCAAATCCTTAATCCCTAAAAGGTCGGCAACGCACTCGTTACTCCTCCGTTGTGAATGTCCATGGGCGGCGCTGATTGCTTACCATCAGGTAATCCGTCTGCTCGTTTGCCCACCTACTACATAAAAAGCTATCACCACAGATGGGGCCTAGTAGGACCAATGTTCAGCCAGGGTTGCGGTTGCAAGAGCAGTAACGTACTGTGGCAAACGATGAAAAACCGGATAGTTTTTAGTAAGTCGGTAGAAGTTCATGATAAGAAAACAAAACAAAATTTAGGCCATCCGCCTAGGCACTATTTACTTAAATCTTACTAATATTATAAATGCCAAAGTTACGATGTTTGGATGTTTTTTACTCAATCACGCCGAAACGGCTGGACGGATCTTAATGAAATTTGACACACGCATAGGATACTTTCCCGAATAGGACATGGGCTACTTTATCAACATACCAAGCGGGCGAAGCCGTGTGCAGAAGCTAGTATAAAATAATACTTTGGAGTCAAATAATATAAAATATTGAACCAAGCTTAATGGTCCAACAAAAACTCTAGTCAGACTGGTCGACAAAAAATAATGGGTATTGTAAAAACGCAATAATGTATCTTACTCCATTGTGTCAAGGTAGATATTGTTTTGTTGTAACTGTTGCTAAGTAAATTGTTCACATCTTACCTTGGCCGTGACCAGCGGAGTTTGACCTTGCATAGATATTGATTATGCAGTACGAAACACCTCATATCATTGAGCTGACGTGTACTTTATGATAAGCGATTTATGACACATTTTTCAATAACAGTATTTTTTTATTACATACAGACGCGTACTCAATAAAATTCATTTTAAAATTAAAAAGGCTAACCGTTTTGAAGAAACTCTAAGAAAAACACAATTAAAAACGAATTGTCTTTGCTAAAAGTGTTTATAACCAAACATTCTGGTCTTTTGGGGCAACATTTCCAAAGGACCAGAAGGAGAAAAGGACCAATATTAAGAGCAATCCTGCTGCCAAATTGCTATTGTACGTAATATAAATTCATGGTCGTTCATTGAAGCAGTACGCCTATATTATTAGACATATTCAATGTGGAGACTGTCTATGAAAAAAAAATAAACATACAAAATATATCAATAAATATAATCCACATTTCTAAGCTAAACCCTTAATTCCAAATTTAGATCTTAACTAATACGACTTAACAGTTTAAAATACTACATTTAAAAACACATAAAATTGACGTAGGTACTAGAGGTACAACAAATCTTATCCATAAAAGTTTACACAAAGATAAAATGGAACGTTTTATTTAAAAGATAATTCGAAATACAAACTTACATTTCGTGTAAAGGTAAACAAAGACTGGACCGGTGTGAAGGTGACGCGACTGTCACTGAAGACGGTGTATCTATAACTGCCGGGTCCACCGGCCGGCTTCCTCGACCAGTCAATTATCAAAATAATATTATTATCATTACGCAAGTCTTCGTAATCTATTAGTCTACGCTTCTATAATCTCTGAGTTTCGATTGGAAGTACGCAAGTTTGTTAGGTAGGTACTCAATTTCTCCAGAACAGATGCGTGGATTTGGGTGAAATTTGGTTGAAGATATGGGTGGTCATGCAAACAAAAAAAAATTATAGGGTGATATATGAAAATTTGGTCTGTATTATACATATACAAAAATATCCTAAAGTTTTTTAGTAAGTATACCTACTTACTAAAAAATAACACCCGTTCTTTCTAGTGTGGGTGCGGCCCCTGTAAATACTTGCGCTTACGCCGTCGACTCAAATAGATATGAATCCCTGATGTGACTTGAAACCAGTCGAATCGAATACGACGTATTATAAACAATTTCGCGAGTAAGCATAGAAACATACGTAATAATTAATAATAATATTTTTTTTCTAAATAAAGTTTTAACACATCTAAAAGGTAATTTACAGATTAATAATGATAGATAAATAATGTTTATTTATATCTGTTGTTATGCGCTTTTTTCGGCAAGAAAGATTAACGTAGAAACTAATTATCTAATTAAGATTATTTTATTAATATCGTTTTAGATATTGTGTCATATTTCACGTAGGTATATTTAAGTTTATGTTAGTTTGATCTAAATTTTATTCTCTCGAAATCCATAGAAAGCCTTTTTCCTCTTTTTTCAGATTTTTCTCAATATTTTTTTATTGGTTCACATTATTGGGTCTTCAAATTATGTTCATTGTATATTTTGGATTTTGGCACTTTGATACTGCATATTTTCTTTCTTCTTTCTTTGATAGGTATATACACAATATCTGGCATCTGTTCATAATAAAGACTTGTTAGTCTTTTAAATATTTTATTAAAATGTATTGATCATTAGTCTGCAAATATCATTACAATAGAAAAAGCCTTTTTCCTCACAAAGAAGAAATAATTATTTACCACCGCGCTTGCTCAATGCAAATTGTCGATTTGAAACTTATCATTGGAAATGTATAAGTATGTATTAGTAGCTTTACGATGGTTTTCCTTCATTGATACTTAAATAGGTGATGTGACTACATACATGTGACTCGGAAAGTTACATTGGTACGTATGTACCTACCTTCCTGTAAGCTGTAACTTCTCCCGCATTAGCCTGTTTCCCGTGCATGAAATGTTTCGAAATATGGCTAGTACCAATAATGCTTTTTCTAACTTATATGTACTTTCTAAGTGTATTCAGACGCCACTGATAAACAGCGAAGGAAAATTCGTCAGGAAATCAGCCCTGAGCAAGAGCGGTGATCAATGCTCAAATCTTCTCCGAGTGAGAAGAGACCTTTGTTCTGCAGTGGACACTTATAGCATGATGACTTGTGTGATGTTATTGTTTCTTAAATAGGTAAGATCATTGTTTTATTCGTGTAGTCTTATACAATTAGCATACCGATTGAACTATGTATGTAATTATATGAATTGAATTGAATTTGGTTTTTCCCATTTATTGTAACATAATAGAGATAATTAAAATATATGCTCAAATATTTATGAAATGTTTTTACATAATGTGCGCATGGAATAATATGTGAAATTGCATAGCGAAAATCTTCAAATAAAGTTAAGCAGGAAAACCTATCATAATAATAAAGTAAAGCATCCTTGACCTGAAGCAGGAGAAAAAACGGGGTAAGAGTCTGACACTCCCTCTCGTACTGATTCTCTCCTCAAAAACACTACTTAACTGTATAAACTTTTGTTAAAATGATTCATACCTACGCGTCGTTTGTTTATTTAGGTACTAAATCAATAAACAAATGAATTAGTATGTCGGCGCACTGGCCATCAGCACATATGAAACCTCTTTGTTGTCAAATGTCATAATTAAGTCCATAGCGAACACCGAGACCTGGTGAGGCGGCCTTCTTGTAAAACAGGACAATTAGTGTTGGACCTTCGTAGAATACGCACGCGGCCACGTGTTCGGTGGATGTTAAGTTCGAATCCAACCTTAATTAATTATCCTTAATTATCCTTAGTTAAATTGTAATAGTTGTGATTGTAATATCAAGAGTTGTAAGAAGAGCGATTATAGAAACAGTTATTTTATTGAAATACCGTCTTCCTACCCGATAATCCGCGCCTAATTGAACATGTCAAATTATTCTAATCATAGTCTTCAAGTAGAAATGTCCATTTGACGTTACGGGTTTCGTTATTGGGTTTCCAATTTTTGCAATTCTAATCATCATAATATCAGCTAAAAATGTCCACTTTTTAACATTGGAATCCCGTAATTAGTTCAAGATATGCCACCTTAGAAGCGACGACCAGCAGCAGCTACTTTCAGCTCGCTATGGTTGTTTTACGCCGGTTTTCTGTGAGGCCGTGGTATCTCTCCGGTCGAGCCGAAGCATGGCTCTCCCACACTTATGCAAGTAGTGCTCTCTGCAGTTTCTAAGTCATCTAGGTAAACGAGATTTTTGAAATAGGTCAACTAACTACTGGTATAAAATTCTATTAACAGCGGCTAATGTTTACAAACTGGTTCTTATTATAATTCAAACTGGTATGCCTACTCCTCGGCGATGTTTCCTCAAGGTTAGGAGGGGACTTGATTACAAAGACCATTCACATTATTGACACCTGCACATCAAGCTGATCCTTTGAATACATTTTCAACTCCATTACAAAGAATTAAGGTCGAAAATTTATTGTTTTGGAGTAGTTTAATGTGCTTTTTATAAAGGTATTGTCATCGGTGCGTGCACAAAAAAACATTGTCACTTATTTTACGTACTTCCATGGCGCGAAATATTAAGGTTGGATAAATTTAAAATTTTACCACAAAAATGGCGTATAAAATACTAGTTTTCGCCCGTACTTTCGTCCGCGTGAAGCAAATATCCCCAAATTTCAAACAAATCGGTCCAGCCGTTTTTGCGTGTCAAAATAACAAACATACATGCATATATTCTCGCAAACTTTCTCATTTTTAATGTTAGCAGGATTTAGGTACAGCGGGAAATGATACTGCATTTTAGAAAACCATAAAAACTTTAATAATAACCCTAACCAAATTTACAACTCAGTCTTCTTATTTGCCTGGTGCCATTCTTTGAACGCCTTCACTGCTTTGAACACGTCTGCGGAAAACACCTGAGGCAGTTCAAATGCCAGGAAATGTCCACCATCATCAAGCACCGTCGTTCCAATCAGGTTTTTGAACTTAGCGCTTAGAACAGCTGGTGGTTGATAAAACAATTCTTCTTTGGCCTGGAGACCCCATGTCGGCACGTCTGTTGGGATCCTATTAAAAACAATTGAAATAAATGATTTTGCTCCTTAGATTTCTTAAAAGGCAAAATTTTCCAATGAAAACTCGGTAAAACGTGGTGTGGTATGTGGGAGAGCCAAGCTTCGGCACGAATGGGTCGGCTCGACCGGAGTGATACCACCGGCCTCACAGAATAACGAGTTTGAAACAACCTACAGTGTTGTGAGGTTACCGGTGGCCCAATCCCTTCCCTTCCTCTATCCCTTCCCGATCCTTATATCCGCAACCCCTATCCCCAAAAGGCCGGCAACGCACTCATAACTCCTTTGGTGTTGCGGGTGTCCATGGGCGGCGCTGATTGCTTACCATCAAGTAATCCATCCGCTCGTTTGCCGACTTATACCATAAAAAAGCGTAGAATACTTACTGGTCCAAATTCAACGACATAATTTTGTGGGAGAAGTTCTCAGCGTAGAACCTCATCGAAGTTGTGATGGAGTTGGTAGACCAGTAGATCATGAGGTTGTCAATGAGCTGGTCTTTTGTGAACCTGTTGCTAAGACCACCGTCCGCCTTAAACTTGTACTCCTTCTTGGTCCATGTGGAGAACTTCTCGAGGATGTAAGCCAAAAGACCGGCGGGGGAATCTGATAGAGGTACACCTGCAAGAGAAGGGCAAGTTGATTAGACGGCAGTAATGATGATAGTTCTTGCTACGTGCCTCAAAGGGATTGACATCACATATTGTTTGTGCCCATTAATGGAGCCCAACAAGTCTGATGTTTTGCCTGGCTTACATTCAAAGCACTTGCGCAATTATGATCGTAGAAGGAACGGATAGTAGTAGTAATAAACATGATGATGTTGAAAATGATGATAATAATGAAACATAAAGTTATTGAATGTAACAGTTACTTTTCGCAAATTTTCTAACATTGTTTTAAAAATTGCCGAAGTACTAGTTGGTCCACTCATCGAATAAAAATTAGTTCATCAAACCCCAAGCAAACGCCGGCGTTCGAGCACCAATTGTTTTTCTATTGTGTCTCGAATTACCACGATTGAAAAGTTAAACGTATATTTTCACTTACCAACTGTATCAGGTTTGGTGGCCTGTATGTGCATGTAGCCGAATTCCTCCAATACATAAGCGAAGAATGAAGACAGAGGGTATATCCTGCTCGCTAGATGTTCTTCAATTATGAGGGAAGGTAAGAAGGCTCCAACGAATGTCCTTACCGTGGCGCACGTGTGCTGAAGAAAAATGGCGACTTTTAGAAAACTGTCTCTGTTGAAAATAACGACTTACTAACGTGAATTAACTGAGAAAAGCACGACTAGTTTCAAGTTACAACAGGACTCTTATTCATGAGCAGCGTGCGCGTCGAAGCAATGTCAGACGACGATGATTCCAGTTACGTGCGTAAGTCGTTATTAAAAAAAAAACTTACATATCTCTCGATAGTTACTATTACAAAAATGCTGTCTCATTGTTATCGTTTTTGATCTTAAGTACATCAAAAGAAGCTTTTTGTCAATAACGTTTAAAATCCACAAATTAAATGGCAATATAAAGATTTATAAGAAAGCCTACCTGAGTAAACAGCATATTGGAATGGTGTCCCAGAATGTCTTCGGGGAAGAGAGTTGACATTGTACTGACGATGCCTGCACCCCAATCGCCTCCTTGCACGTAATACTTCTTATGACCCAACCTGTTCATCAGGTTTCTGAAAATTACGGCCACTTGGGGCATACCTAAGCCAGGTCTGACTGCAGGCTGTGGAAAAATAACAATTTATAGACAATAGTTAAAGCCAGATTTCAAGGGTAGGGCTCGAAATGTACTAAAGAACAGACACAGTATTCGACATATATAAAACAACCATTTAAAGAATTTGCCGTGTCTTATATCTTTGATTATACACAATACTTCATTGAATTTGTGTAATAAGTCTGGGTAAAACAGCTGGTCGCTTAGTTCTACATATTTTTTCTATACTCACGTCTGAAAATCCATAACCAGGTATACTAGGGATGATCAGTTCAAACACGAAGTTGTAACCAGCTGTCTGGCGGGTGAGGAGAGGAATGGCCTCATAAAACTCTCGCACGGAGCCGGGCCATCCGTGAATCATCAGAAGAGGAAGCACTTCCACATTTTTAGGAACCTAAGAAAGAAAATAAAATTCTTACGAAATCTGTGACGGTCGGAAGTTCTAAAACAAATGCTTTATGTTCAAATCAAATTCAAAAGATTCTAAATTTAAAGGCACTTAAAGAAACTGTCATTACAATAAATTCTGTTTTTTTTTGGCCTCAAGTTTCTAAACTCACCTCAGGTTTTACTCTGATGAAATGGATGTCCAGACCTTGGATGTTAGTCTTGAAATGAGGGAACTTGTTAAGGAAGGCCTCTCTTTCACTAAAGTTGTACTTATCAGCCCAATAGTTAATCCAGCTGTCCATTTGTGCTGTGTTGAAGCCATATTCGAAACCAACGCCCTCTAGTGGCGGTCGGAACGCACGGTGGTTCTTCAAGCGCAGTTTTAGGTCTTTTATCATCTGTAACAAAGTTTAGTTGTTTACTGAAATTATCAAATGATAGGTATTTTAAAACTGGTCAAGTGTCTGGGGGACAAAAAGGTTAGAGGGTTTGTACCAAATAAACTTCATTTTCTAAACTCGTCGTTCCTTAAAAATCCTTAAATATTTGTCTCAATTTTGAACTATCTAGCTATCACGGTGCGTGAGATGCAACCTAATGATTGACGGACAGACGAACGTCCGTTCGGTCGTCGTGACGTCGTGACGTCTTAGTAATAGGCAACCTGTCTTCAACTTTCGGTATGTTACCCTAAAAATGATAGGCCTTGCGAAATCTGGCAGTCAATAGTTCGAAAAGTGCTTTAGAAATGGACAAAAATGACTTACAGATATTTTATGAATCGTAACAGTTCGATGGCTTATACATAATATGTAAAGCAGACGATTATTCCACTTAGTTATCAGTACTCATAAGGAATGAGATGGCTGTGTGCAAGAAGATTTATACAACAGTTGGAAAGATAGTCTTTTTTTTTGAGGTTGGAAAATCATCAAATCTTCTCCCACTTAGGGTGGAACGTGAGGAAGTGTCAGACTCTTGCTGACTAAAAACCACTCCGTTCCTCCTCCTACTGTTGGCCGTGGGCGTGTCAATTTTGTTGGAGTTTTTAAAATACAAAACAGAATAAGGAATCTGTGTGGTTCATTTTTGGCAATCATGATGAGCATTGAAGATAAGATATCTTAATCATAATGATGGAATCACATTATTATATGATGATATCTTCAGTAAATAACTAAACATTATAAGGAAAGATAATTTTAATCCAGTATTTACGTGTTTCACTCGAATTTGAGTGTTATGTCAGTTAGATATTATGGCGAAATTCGTACTGAGAAATATAATTCATTCCTTTCCTTCATACAGAATTGTTTGTAACTCTTTGCATTAGTCGAAATTTATTTAATAAAACGTAGTATGTTATACAGGCAGTGCTTGACAGAAGTGATCATATTTAATTTTACAACCTCTTTTCAGCTGATACAGAATACATTATGAGTTTAATTTTAGGTGGTTGCGGCCCAAACTGGGCCTGAAGAAGAAGAAGAAGTGGAATTAATTTTAGTCAGTAAGAGTCTGTCACTTCTTATCACTCCACACAGGGCGAGAGAAAACATTCGATGATTTACCCCCTTTAAATACCGAGGTCCTTTGGTTGCAATTTACAGATATTTTTTGCTCCAAAACTCTGATCTACGATGCCCAACTTAGCAATCGTTTCGCAGATCCTTTCCTACCTTTTCCGAACTTAGGAAACATCAAGCTCTATTCTCAAAAAACTTAACATACCGCTTCATCAAACTTGACTTTAAATGGCCTGATAGCACTGTCCTGTTTGCCGACTAGTTCTTTAGGACCCCACCATTCATTGTTGTCCAGCTTTGGAATAGTCTTTGGACAGCAACCTATGAAGTAGTACCACGCTGCCACACCTAGTGCAGCAACCAACACTGCTTTCACTATGAAACCCATTGTTATCTGAAACAAACTTATTTTGTCAGTCATCGTCACAGTTTCCTTTTTAAAATATCTAATAGTTTTTGGACTAGTTTTTTAATTATTTTGATTTATTGATCAGGCCAAATGCCAAGTAACCACAATGTGTTGTTTAGCATTGTGTATAATAGTTGACTGCACGGTTGGTGCAGTGGCTGGGTAACTGGCTGCCGTGCAACGTGTCGCGGGTTCGATTCCCGCACGGAACGACTCTTTGTGTGTTGTTCCGGATTCTGGGTGTGATGTGCATGTGAAATTGTATGTTTGTAACCGCAACCACGACACGAAAATCCTGAAGGAAGGCAATGTTTAAAAAAAAAACAAAAAAAATCCCGAGACCCATTTCTTACTCTCGTTTCACCCCTCCCCAATCCTTAAATCCGCAGAACACCCTACACCCGAAATGCCGGCACCACACATGCAAATTCTTTAGTGTTGCGGGTGTCCATTGGCGGCACCGATCGCTAACCATCAGATAATCCGACGGCTATAACCGCATCACAAAAAAAAACTGTTAGTAGCTAAGTCTATCATTTTCAGACATACAGTTACTTCAGTAAGCGCGAATCTGATTTTAAGAAGCGCTGTAGATGTAACGGTAATAAATATTGAATCATTGTGACTAGCTTGGGAGCGGGTTCATGGCTCGCTGCACACAGTTACGTAAGTAGCGTCTAAACCTAAATTATGAAGAGGAATTATTTCATTGGTTGCGTTGAACAGGCTTTTGAACAATATGGTATTTATTAAACCTAAGTGCTGTTGACACTTGCGCACGAAGGGTTCATACCAACAGTCAGGGTAGAAGGTCAAGTGTAGATAGGGTGCAAATCAATACCAATCATGTACCGCGGCCTTGACCTGGAGCTGGAGTAGCAACGGGACTAGAGAAGTCAAAAAAGGGACTATGTACTTGACAGGGATTGAATAAGAACTCTGATAAACAAAAACAGTATTGTGTTCTCCAACCCGCCTGTCAAAAGACCAAACGCTAAAAGAAGAAAGTCATCTTGCATAGATCGAGAGGAGCTATAAGAAGTTCATGCTAGAATAAAGAAGGGCCTGCTTTTGAATTCTACACATATACCTTAGTTAGGTGATTAAATCACATTTGAAGAAGCAAACTTGTCTGTTTATCTACGTGACACTGAACTTTGGACTTTCAAGGTAGATAATGCTTTGGACCGACCTTTGGAACTAGAAACAACTTCTCATTATGACTTTGCAATTATTATAAGTTCTACGGAAAACATTTAAAATAATGTTCTAAATTTTTTATCCTACCAACTACACCAAAGATAATCAGCTACATCTAAAGATACTAATTGTCTGTTTATCAGCATTACATTTTTATTCCGAAAACAACCTGTTTTTTTATGAGAAAGGGTTGCAAACGAGTCGTCGTATTGCCCGCACCCGCAGTTCCTTACTGCCATTTTGAGGATTAGAGTTTCGCATATTTTAGGATTGGGAAGGGATGGGGGATGACTAAGGAATGGGCTTCTGCAGTGTGATTCTGTAAGTATTCTAAACTTCGAATCTGAATCCGCTGTGAGTATTAGTACACTAGCGCTACACTTGCGAGTTGAACTAAATTGACCGCAACATTTTGATAGATAAAGTATGAGATGACGTTAAAAGTGGCATTATAAAATTTAATTTCCCCGTCACTTCGAAGCTCACTTCGCACTCGAACACGATTCAAAATCAAACAAATTTTATAGAATCGACGTGCTGGTAACCTCATTCACACAGCGAAAATCAACGCTATGGTTGCTTTACGCCAGTTTTTTGTGAGACCATGGTATCACCCCTGTCGATCCAGCCTATTCGAGCCGAAGCTTGTCTCTCCTATCCGTCTAAAAATACATCTGAATCGTAGAATAAGATGGGAGTGGCAGTGACCTCTAATTTTGCGATTGCAGCCGGAGGTAAACAATCTTCCAGTCAAACGGATAATGGACAATTCCCTGCTATATTGCTATAGGTACTCGTATGTTTTATATGGTTATAATAATAACAACCTGGTGAATGACAATTGACTACACGGTTGGCGTAGTGACTGGGCAACTGGTTAATGAGCAAAGTATTGTGGTTTCGTTTCCCGCTAGACACAACTTTTCTGTGCATCCACAAATTATTGTTCGGGGCCTGGATGTGATGTGCATTATGATTTTTATGTTTGTAACGACACCTCCAGGAGCAAATTGAAGCGTTCAAAAATCTTTATATAAAAAAATGGATCGCAAAATATGTTGGTAAGCGCATAACTCAACAACGCCTGGACCAATTTTGCTCATTCTTTTTTTGTTGTGTTTGTTATTGTCAGAAGAAGGTTCTTATTGAAGAAAATATTAGAAAAGTAGAGGGGAAGGTTAGGAAAAAGTGACCCTTTGATAGCGAGATAGTTGGACCCGTGCGAAGCGGGGGCGAGCCGCTAATTTAAAATAAAAGCGATGATACGGTTCATATAATAAGAGTCGCGAGGACCCAATGTATGTGAGTAGCGAATTTTCGTTTGGCATAGGGAACTAAGGGGGAGGCCTTTGTCTAGTAGTGGACGTCTTTCGGCTGATGGTGATGATGATGATGATGTACAAGAAATCTCTACAGATCTTGCCAGTGTAGTGAGATTCAAAGTAGAAGTCTCCAAACCAAGCGTTGTTGATACCTATGAGTTAAAGATTTGTATCGGCCCCGCTATAAATGATACAACGGGGGTATAATTAATGCCTACTAGCTGAGCCACAACGGCTTCTCTCGCGTAGTTCACCTTATGATCACCGGGGACAATGTAGCTTCCAAGCTGCACTGTCCAAAATGTCACCAAGAAGCCAGGAAATTTTTAAAATCGTTCAAGTAGTTTCAAAACCTGTTCAATTCAAACAAACAATCAAATCTTTCCTTTTTATAATAGTAGTAAAGAAATAGGCCTGACTTAACTCTTAAAAAGCGATCTTTACGTGAAGTGATAAAGATGTATTTTGCTAGACGACTGCATGGTAACTTAATTACAAGGATATAACACGTAATTACTTAATTGCAGACTGCGTTATAATACTAGACGATAAGATAAAAAATGAGGTTTAAAATGTTTCTTTTTCTGTAGAGATGCGAACGAATAGGATTGATCACCTGATTGTCAAGGGGTCAGCGATACTCAAGGACAATATTATCGGAGCAGTAATTTATAAAGATAATAAGAATAATGATTCTACCGATATTTTGCTTTGAACCTCATAACCAGTTTGGATCATAACGAGTATTTTTAATTTTGGTTACGAATTTATATAAAACTAATAGGTAATGTAAACGTAAGTTTTTAAGTTGATTTTTGTTTTTTTTTTTAATTCATTGCCCCACTCTAGTATTTTATCCTGTGTGGGTGCGTTTACAAACATACAATTTCACATACAGATCACACCCAGACCCGGAATAACAATTTGTGGATCACACAAATGGTTGTTCCGTGCGGTAATCGAACCCGTGACACTTTGCATGGCAGCCAGTTGCCCAGCCACCGCACCAACCGTGCAGTCGATTTCGTAGTAGTCGTAAAACTAAGTATATCCTATGTAAATAAAAAAGACCAAAGCATAGCAATCCTTGAAATATGTATGTATTATAAATGCAAAAGTTAGAAGTAAAGTAACAAAGTATATAGTATATGTATAGATGGATGTTTGTTACACTTTTATGTAAAATCTATTGAAGTGATCTGAATGAAATTAGGCACAGAGATATATAATCTATCGAGTATAATCTAGATAACACACAGGTTACGTTTTACCCTGGTCTCACGGGAGGAACCGCTAACAGAAGCTAGTGGGCATTATCACTACATCGTATAAAACAAAGTCGCTTTCTCTGTCTCTATATCCCTATGTACGCTTAAATCTTTTAAACTACACAACGGAATTTGATGCGTATTGTAATGGATAGGGTGATTCAAAGAAGAGTTTAACATCAATAAAAAAGTGGAGAAATTAAGTATCGGTATTGGACCCGTGCAAAGCCGGGTCGTGTCGCTAGAAACAAATAAACACAAGAACATAAAGCGGTTCTACAATTCTATAACAGTACACACGAACACCTTGATATTTACAAACACTATCATCAACAAGATAACTCCAACTTAAAAACACGATGACTTAACACCGTCTAGAATCACACAGCAACAAAGAAAAGAATGACAAATACATATAATTATAATAACAAATTTTAACCTAACAGACTTTAGACAGAATAAGTTATTCATTTGGCGTCAATAACAAGACATAAAAGTATTATAAAGCTGTAAAAAAAATTTAAAAAAATCTACTTACTTACACGACGCGACTGCCCAGACGCACGTTGCGCGATGGACTCGGCCGAGCGCGGAGGTAAGTGATCTGTCTGCACTTGATGTTATGACGTAATATTATTTATTCAGTCAGTGGCCGCCGGCCGGCGAGCGATATCGAACTGTGTTGCCATTACAAGAATCATAAATATCTACCACTTTTGGAAGAATTGTAATTATTGTAGAAGTTGTAGGTATTTATTTATTCATATTTATTAACATAAATCCATTGCAATAATTGTCAAAATAATTATAAAAGCCAGAATGACGATTTTAATGAAAATTGGGAGAGATTTTAAAATATATTATTATATATTCCAAAATAACACACGTAACGATGTTAAGTATAATGCTTATTAGTCCAGGCTGTTAAGCTCGGATTACGTCTACTATTTTTTTTTTTTTTTTTGAGAAGGGAAATAATCAAATGTCTTCTCTCGCCCACAGGGTATGGCGAGAAGGAGTGTCAGACTCTTACTGACTAAAAACTTCCCTATTCCTTTTCCTGAACAAAGCCGATGCCTTGGTACCATATTGCGCTTGGGTCGCGGGTCATCGGCTCTATTGGGCCCCATCTGCGGTGGTCTATTGGGTCTTTGAAGCGCACGCGAAATGCCACGCCCCGCACTTTCGCGATTGGGACTACACCTCACCCTTGATTTTGCTTGCAGTAGATATTACTGTATGTTTCGATAGTGTTTATTGCGATGATAAATAAAAAACTCTTAAAAACATAAGCCAGTTTACACATTACACATCTACAAGTACATAATTAAAAAAAAAATTGGAGTGTCTGATTTTAATATTGAAGTAGCATATTTTTACTGCATGCACATATATGAATAATAACACTGTTACAATTTTTGTCTGTCTGTTCGTTCCGGCTAATCTTTAAATTGGCTGGACCGATTTGATCATTACTTTTAGAATAATTATTTTATTTATCTTAATAATAATATAGTGTTCTGACGCGATTGCGATGTAGAAATCCAAAGTGTAAAAATGGGAAAAAAATTCTAATGAAAATTACTTGGCTAGCAAAAAAATTACCAAAAATAAAACCTACCAAAAATGAATTGTAATCATGTATGACAACATTTGTTCTGATTTGCAATCACATCAGCTGATAGCAGTGTTATTTATAAATAAAGGCAATGCATAGCTTTAGGCACAGGAATGGACAAGTTACTTGATGCAAAAGAGATGATGAACGATGACAAAGCAAAAACACATACCTTATTAATTGCACAATATATAAAAAATATTACTGTCAGTACAGAATGGTTGGTAACTGTAGCTTATTTAACAATTTTATCACCCTTACTCTTTCTCATTACTCTTCATCTATCGGAAGAATAGATTAAAGAACTATGTACACAATACACAGAGAGTGTCTATAATATAGCAAAACCCCTCTTATTTAAATATTTATAAAAATAAGAAACAATGAGGGACCAAGGATTCTTACTTGTGGCACACCAAACATTTTAATAACTTTCCTTTTCCGTAACATTATATTGAAAAGTTTTTAAATGAAACAGTTATGCATTTATATTAATAAGTTTATTGTGAATTAATGTTGCTGTCGGCAAATCCCCATAATAGGTATTCCGCAAAAAGGCAGTAACGGAATAGTCCTCCCAACGATGGTTATGTTGTCAAAACTATGACAATGTCATTGAGCTTTCATAACATCTAACGCCTTTGTGAAGTAGAAGAAGTATTTGTTCTATCACTTTACTTGTACAAGAAGAGCGTAGTGTCAGCCTGTCACAATTGTTAAAGTCAAAAGTTATTTGAAAAATTGATTGCTCAGAAAAATGTGAAAGGGTATTTTAAACAAAAAGACAGGGCTCAAACATTTATATTATAATAACTACTACTTGTTGGAAATACTTATTTATCGCTAAGCTGTATTTTTAACACTTTACCTGCAGTCCTTTTCCTTCCTCTTCGCAATACTCAAATCTTAATCTAACCTCCAAATAGAAGACAGAAACACTTACTTACAGCTCCTCCTAGTGTGTGTGTTCACCATCAGGTAATTCAACTGCTCGATTGCCGTCGTATACGATAAAAAGGATATCACTTGCCTTTTAACAAATAATTTAATAGTTAAACTAGCGGCCCTCCCCTGCTTCGCACGGGTCTCTGACTATCTCGCCAACGACGTTTTATTTCCTAGCTATTTCCTCTACTTTTCTAAAATTGTCTTTCATAAGAACCTTCTCCTTATAATAACGAACACAACAAAATAAGAATCAGCAAAATTGGTCCAGGCGTTATTGAGTTATGCGCTTACCAACACATTTTGCGATTCATTTTTATATTATAGAAGATTTGCTATTTTCTTTATTGTTTTTCTTATTCAGTTTTAAGACAGCGATTTAATTAGCGTTACAGCGATTTTTGACATACGTTTTAGGAGTTTCTGTTATAAACATAAATTATGACCCTGACCATAAATTGACCGTGGAGAAATAGCAAAATAAAACATCTTATATTACATTAATCGTATCATTTTTTTTTTGTATTGAGCAGGTACACTAGACACGTAATAAAACAATAACATAACATAGTAAAAAAAAACCTTAATCATGAAAGTCCATATTTATTTTTGTTAAGCTTGTTATGGTAGTGCCAACTTCTGAACGCAGAGATAGCGTTCAAGACATCGTTTGCGAAAACTCGAGGCAACTCGAACGCCAAGAAATGTCCTCCGGTATTGAGAACTGTGGTATTCACTAGGTTCGGGAACTTTTGTCTTAGCAGTGTTGGAGACTGGTATATAATTTCGTCTTTAGCCTGAATAGCCCAAGTTGGTACTGGTGTGGGTATCCTGTGAAGTAAATGAAATAGAAATCGGTTATTGATACATTTTAGTTCTGGAGCCTGGGCTGTTGATTGACCAGATTCGGTTGATAGGTAGTCAGTGTTTTATACACAGCGAAGGTCATTTACCCTTTTCTTGAGCAGGGAAAATCATCATCAATCATGCTCTCCCACACCGAGCAGGGCGAGAGCCAGTGGCAGTTCTTACTAACTGAAAACCATTCCGTTTCTATGTTTTGCTTAGACCAAGGTGGCGGTAACATTATTGCGGTTGACCGGCAACCCCGGCTGATATCCTTCACAAGTTAAAAATTGTTGTACACCTAATTCTAGAGACTTAGATTTAGGCTTCTCCGAAAAAAATGTGTTTGTTTGTATGTGAAAGAGTAATAATCATGAACTCAATAAGGAGGGGCTGGTGCCAACTTAAAAAAAAATACTCACGCAAATATCCCCATTCTCAAAGTCCTCAGATTTGCAAACTCGGCATATATTCTGGCAGAGGTCGTGAAGCTGTTGGTCATCCAGTAAATCATCAGATTGTCGATCAATTCTTCCCGAGTGAACAACTCACTGAAACCACCGTCGTTCCTGTTGTAATACCTTCTTCTGCTGCCCGTTGAAAACAGCTGGAAGATGTAAGCTAAAAGACCAGAAGGGGAATCCGCCATCGCTACACCTGGAATTACGAAAATTAATATTTTTTATTACCTTTTTCATTAGTGACGTAACGCATGTTACAAAAAAAGCCATGAATATAACTGAGGATGGATGGAGAGGGAGAGGGAGACCAAAGAAAATATGGATGGATTGTGTGAGAAGTGACATGGAAGACAGAGGAGTTAGCGATAGCGTGACGGGTGACAGGACAGAATGGAAGAAAAAAACATATAGGTAAACTTGCTTAATTCGTACCTGCGCCTAAATCGTACCTCGTCTATATCTCGGCATGGGTAATAGTTACCAACGCCTCTGATGGCATAAAATGTCAATAATAGTCGGCCAGATTGCTATATGACAAATAAACACCTGTTACGTTGCTCCCGACAAAAATATTGAACGGGTAAGTTTTTGAGGTAATTTTTTTGCATACTTCACAAGAACTGTCTTCCAAGTATACCGTTCATAAGTTGTTTAACTGTTTATTATATATTTATACGTATATTTGTGAATATATTTCACATGGTAAAGCCGGCTTGTTCGTTGACAGTTTTTTTTGCGGCTAATTTGAAATTCATTTGATACTTGTGCCTAATTCGTACTCGCAGCAACTTTTTAAAACGTACGTACTTACAATTTAGGTAAACAATGTTTAATATCACAGTAAATATTAATAACTTACTTGATTATTTTTTAGTTTGTGTTTTTATTTAATAAAACTAAAAAAAAACATTATCTTAAGCAGTAATTGTGAAGTATGGGTACATGAGCTATGTGCAAGACGAATTAAAAAACACTATTTTTTATTACTGCGATGACTTTAAAGATTTGGAAATAATTAGGTAATCTAGGTACATTAAGATTAAAAAGAGTATAAGATTATTAAGATTGTGATTTTTAAGACTGTAAAACAATGATAGGGTCTCAAAGTACGATATAAGAATATACTGGTACGATTTAAGATCAATGGTCTTAAATCGTACTTTTCTTAAGTTTTTGAAAATTGTTTATTTCTCAGAAGTTTATGAGATTTATGTTATTTTTTATCGGAATACTAATAGAACATTAGTTTAATTATAACTACTTAATATAAATAACTGTGTATCATTGTTCATATTCAAAATTTTCGAGGTTCTCCTTAAGTGGTACGAATTAGGCAAGTTTACCCTATTGCGCCGACCCCAAATAGGTAAAACGGGACAAGAGCAGGAAGATGATGATGATGAATATCTTTTATTACCTAACTGCAGAACTTTTTTTTATATACCCTCTCAACGTGTTTTAGAGCCTTTTTTTGTACTGACCTCCGGCTCGACTGGAGGGAAACAAACAAAAGGCGTTGAGGTTATCGGAGGCCCTATACTTTTCCTTCCTCCATTGCTTGTCCTCAATACCCTAAAAACCCGCAAAACGCTGGCCAGCAACGCACTCATAACTCGCGCATTTGTGTATCGGATGTCCATTGGTGGCGCCGATTTTTCTTTATGTAATAGGTCGGCAAACGAGCACACGGATTACCTGATGGTAAGCAATCAACGCCGCCCATGGAAACTCGCAACGGAGGAGTTACGAGTGCGTTGCTGAACTTTTAGGGATTAGGGATTTGGAGATTTAGCGATTAAGGAGGGATTGGAGGAGGGGAAGGATTAGGCCTCCGGTAACCTCACTCACACGGCGAAACACAACGCTGTGGTTAATTCACGCCGGTTTTCTGTGAGGCTGTGGTATCACTCAGGTCGAGCCGACCCATTCGGGCCGAAGCATGGCTCTCCCACACTTAGCCGATTGCTTGCCTTCAGTGATACGACTGCACTATCCCATTAATATAAATCCTATACAATAGTAAATAAGCATTATAAATACTACGACAAATTATTAAAATGTAGTACTTTTCAAACTCAAAATCTAATATGTAGAACATTTTACTCTAAAACTCATTATTGGATCAAAGGTCTCATTCATAGACCACTGTTTATCACATCCATGGTACATATAAGTACAATATTTTACTCTAAAAATACATACCTAAAGTATCAGGTTTGGTGGCTTGCAGATGGAAATATCCAGTCTCCCTGACGAGCCAGTAGACATGCTCCAGGATTGGATACATTCTGTCAGCAAGATCTGGGTCTACCACCAGTGGGGGGAACACGGAACCAAGCACCCATAGTACTATTGATGTAGGTGCGAGGGTTACCGCAAGGTTCGTGTGGTATCCAAGAACCTCCTGAAATTGTAAGAAAAGTATATTTTCATACTGATGCTAGCTTTCTGCTATCGAGTCTTTTCTCTCAAATTAAAAGGATTAAGTATGAAAATCTATTTCTTTTTGCTTTGTTACAAAAGAAAACTAAAAGTCGTTATTAAAACATCATAGTCAGACAGACTATACTTTTCACTTTTCATAACTGAAATAAGCCAAATAATTCTTTACTCTACAAATACATAGGTACCTTCGGAAAAATGGTCGCCATATCTTGACCAATCACGGCTCCCCAATCTCCGCCTTGCACATAGAATTTCTTGAAGCCCAGCCTGTGCATTAGATTCCTCAGGACCACGGCCATCTCTGAAGTACCCAGTCCAGGACGAACAGCAGGCTGTGGAGAAATTCAGAAATCGTATAATAATATTATGCAAAAAATACTTAGATTTTTTTTATTTGTTGAAATATAATTTTATTAAAGAGAGTATTTATAGTTTTATTTGTTAAAATATAGTTTCCTTTAAGATCAAAAAAACTCATAATCTAGAATATGTGGGAGAGCCATGCTTCGGCACGAATGGGTCGGCTCGACCGGAGTGATACCACGGCCTCACAGAAAACCGGCGTGAAATAACCACAGCGTTGTGTTTCGCCGTGTGAGTGAGGTTGCCGGAGGCCCAATCCTTCTCCTCCCCCAATCCCTCCTCAATCCCTAAATCTCCAAATCCCTAATCCCTAAAAGGTCGGCAACGCACTCATAACTCCTCCGTTGCGAGTGTGCTTACCATCAGGTAATCCGTCTGCTAATTTGCCGACCTAATACATAAGAAAAATATATACATAAGCGTTTGTTTTGGAACCAAATCGTTACTAAGAAGATGTTTAATTAATAATTAATTAAATGTCTCTGAGTATGGCAGTTTATTATTTGATGGAACTTAAATTCTGAATACCTAATTACTTTCATTATTGTTATAATAATGTAGGCACATCATTCATATTAATAAAATTCTATCTTTTTATTATTACTCCATTTCACTGGCTTTTTTTTTTCATTTTGTAAATAACTGAATGGTGTCGGTCAAAATGGTAACTCAAAAAATCTTAATTATTTTTTTTTTTTGCTTTTTTTTTCTATCACCCTTTTTACAAAACTAGCACTTTATATAGTTCTATGCATTTATACGTCAAACGCGTTGCAACAATCATTTGTCGTCATTATAATAATTACGAGTAATAGTATCATAACTCATAGTTAGTGTCGCGTATTAATCATGAGCCCTGACGATGATTTTGACGATAACGATGATTTTCAAATGCCTATTTTTTATTTTTCTAAGTTAAAAATCATTAAATTACTTCTCCCACCCTGAGCGGGTGAGTCAGACTCTTACTGATTAAAAGCTCCATTCTTTCTCCTGGTCCGGGCCAGGGCTGCAGTATGTTATTGCGCTTGAACCCACAACCCCGGCTAAAAGTCAAAGCCAAAGTCAAGTTCAAAGTGAAAGTCAAAATAAAAATCATTTATTCCAACTAAAACATAAATAGGTACTTTTTGGATTGTCAAAATAGAATCATCACATCGGCTCTATTGGACCCCATGTATAGTGGAACGGCTTTTTTAATTTTTTTCACTTTGATATCTTGCTTATAAGCACTAAGTTTTATTAAAATCGGTTAGTAGTTTTCAAGATTTTGGACTTTAATGTTTGAATGGGTCTAGTTTCTTTTTGTTTCGGTTGCCCCACACTAGGATTTTTTCCTGTGTCGCGAGTGTGTTTACAACCATAGAATAGAATTTCCCAAAAACATCACACGCAAACTCGGAACAACAATTTGTGGATCGTAAAATAAATAGTTTATTTCAATAAATTTCAACAGACAATTATCGATGTTACGATTTAACGATTAAAGTTAAATAATGAAATTGCCGTTCTGCAGTAGGTACTGGCCATTTCAAATCAAAATAGTTTTTGTTCGGCTAAGGCTAATTAATTTTGTTTTAAAAACATGGGATTCTTTTTCCAAAAGTAGTCATTTGTTTATTTTTTAGTGTTACATTTTCATCGCATTTCAAATCAAAAAATTCGTTTAAATTTTTTCATGCAAAACGGCAATTTCATCGGTAAAGACCTATTATTAGATTTTAAATCTCTCGACTGTAGTAATGTACATATATTCCTTGTCAGTATTCTATGCACTTGGCAAAGACTTATTACTCTTAATATTTATGCAGTACTTACAAGCAATTATATATGCAATTACGTGAAGTAGACTGTGGCTCGGAGGAAATTATTGAATTACTACTGTTATTAACCTGGCTATTTATTTAATAAGTAGGTACTGATATATTGTGCCAAGAACAAGATAATTTATTACGTTTTGTCTATACAATGTGCTAATAGAATTATTCTTCTAACTATATTACCATTGTTATTGTTTTTTTATACGATAGGCGGTCAACGAGCTTTCTTATTACCCAACACCAGAAGGTTTTACAAGACCTTATCCATAACATGCGTACCAGAGTTGAGGTTGCAAGCGCAATAAATGTACCGCGGTCTCATTGCGCTTCGCTTACCCCGCAACCCTGGCTAAATATCAGCCTTATAGGGCCCCGTCTGTGGTGGTCTATTGGCTCTATGAGGCGCGCGCGGAACGCTACGCGTCGTACGCTCGGATCCGGTTCTAGTCGGGCGGCGAGATACGCTTACTCGCCATCCGCATACCCGCGCTTGCGGTGGAGATCATTTCTCGATCCTCGACGCCTTGAGTGTCGCGAACTGCGGCAGCTAGTGTGTGAGGAGAATGATAGCTCCCTTAAGCAGTCCGCCTCCATACCAACCTTCAACTGCTTCACAGAAAGAGGAAACGGCTTCTCAGTTCTTCTCACTCCGCTCCATGGCCTCGACAAGAACGTCGCTGTCAATCACTTTCCTGGGGACACGGCGGTGCTTAGCTCAAGCAGAACACACCGCCACCGTATGCTCCACCGTGTCCTCTAAGTGGTCCTCACAATGACGACACTCGGGCCACGCCCGCTGTCTATCTGCCAATGCCATATGGACCTAATAATAAGATATATGATCGATAATAATAAATATGTACGTACGTCAGAGAATCCGAATCCAGGCAAACTAGGAGCTATGACTTCAACAGCGAAGTCTCTGTCAGGTGATATAGCTGTCAACATCGGCAGGGTCTCGTAGAACTCCCTCACGGAACCCGGCCAGCCATGCATTAGAAGTAGTGGTACCGTTTCCACTGTAAATGGTACCTGGAATAGGAAAGTTTTTGCTAAACTATTATTTTGATCTTCTAAACAGGATTATTACCTATTATAAACTTATTAAGTGATTTTATTTCTTCAATGCCATAGCAACAAAATTTTTAAACAAATCACGTTGTATTTTAATGAATTTCCAATTTCAAATAGGGCGGTAAGACTGGAATGATACCATGGTCTCACAGAAAATCGGCGTGAACGTGTGAGTAAGAAGGTTTTAACATATGCTTTCAAATCGTCTTTTCTTCGAAAAGACCGGCAGACCGGCAATACATTCGTATATCCTCTGGCGTTTTTTGAGTTCATGAGCAGCGCTGATTGCTTACCATTAGGCGATCTATCTGATCAGGAGCCTAGCATGTACCAATTTGGCTTTTTATGACTCTTTAAATGTATGTACTTTCTTTTCTCACTACTGACATACGGTGAACGAAAACATTATGTGGAAACTGGGACCTTTTTATGTTTGAGGACAGCAGACGGTAAGCAATCAGCTCTGCCCATGGACACCCCAAACATGGGAGAGTTACAAAAGCGTTGCTAACCTTTTGGGAATTAGAGTTTCGGATTTTGGAAATGGGAAGCAAATAAGGGAGGCAGGATTGCGAAACACAACGATGTGACTGTTTCATGCCAGTTTTCTGTGTGGCCGTGGTGTCACTGGCGATCGAGCCGACCCATTCGTGCTCAAGTATGGCTCTTCAACACTTCCCACATAGATTTCTAATTGAAAGCTCGAAATCACTATTCCACCTTAAGCAGACATAGTTATTGGTTATTGTTCATTCCTTCTCCGTGTGACAAGAGACTTTTGCTCATCAGTGGGCACTGATGGTCTTTTGATAATCCGAACTGCTAAGGAGTGGAATTTTATGCCGAAGTCTGAGTTCCCCGACAGGTATACCTGAGTGTGTTCAAGGCCCGAGTGCATAGGTTACTTATGGGTCATGTTCCATCGTAGGTCACCACCAGGCGTGATATCAACCAAATGTCTGCCCGTTATGAAATAAAAATATAATAAACTACCTACTCTCGCGCGGTTTCACCCGCTGCTTGGCTCCATTTAATCGTAGCGTGATATTTTATAGCAAATATCACTGAGGAACATTGTAACTATCTATTAGTAAAAGAATTTTGGCAATCCGACCAGCGGTTCCAAAGATTACCTTCTACATACAAACTTACTTTTACCTCTTTATAATATTAGTATAGATAAAGAAAAAGGTGGGTACTTACATCAGGTTTTACCCAGAGGAAGTGTATGTCAAGTCCTTGGATGTTGGTCTTGAACTGAGGGAATTGGTTGAGGTATAACTCTTGCTGCTGGAAGGGATAGTGGTCTGCCCAATAGTCCAGCCATCCTTGCAAGTGGTCCGTGTTGAAACCATACTCGAAATTGACGCCTTTCAGAGGTGGAGTGCACGACCTTGTGTTCTTCAGACGATACCTTAAGTCTAAGATCATCTGAAAATATTACGTTGAATTATTTTAATGTTTTGTTTGATTTCTGTTCTTTTCTATCTTTTTTTTTATGTTATTGGTCGTCGAACTAGCAAACGGATTGCCTGATAGTAAGCAATCAGCGGCGCCAATGGACACCCGCAACGACAGAAGAGTTACGAGTAGATACGTTGCCGACCTTTTGGGGATAAGGGATTTGGAGAATTTGGGAAAGGGAACGGATTGGGGTAGGGGAAGGATTGGGCCTCCGGTAACTTCACTGACACGGCGAAACACAACTCTTTGGTTACTTAACGCCGTTTTTCTGTGAGGCCGTGGTATCACCCCAGTCGAGCCGACCCATTCGTGCCGAAGCATGGCTCTAAACCAAACTAGAATATATATTAATTCATAATAAATGTGGGACACTTATCTTGAATTATATTCTAGTTTTTATAAAATTAACTTTTTGTGGAATGGTAACTATTGTGAGACATATTATAATAATGTACTAAATTTTATTTATTTTATTGAAAATAACTAAAATGTGCGGTTGGTGCGGTGGCTGGGCAACTGGCTGCCGTGCAACGTTTCGCGGGTTCGATTCCCGCACGGAACAACTCTTTGTGTGATCCACAGATTGTTGTTCCGGGTCTGGGTGTCATGTGTTTGTGAAATTGCATGTCCGTAACCGCACAGGAGAAAATCCTAGTGAAGGGCAATGTCTTTATTAAAAAAAATACTTGTTAGGATATAAGTAGTTTTTATTTTAATCGAATAATCCCTCTTTTGGTTTTTTTAAATTTGTCACACATTAGTAAATCAGAGGTTTATCTCTGGTCTCGCGCGTCCCAACGTTACTACTCCTTTCCGCTTCGTTCCGGTGGATTCGACGGAGATTCGTAGGATTATCCTTTCATTAAAGTCCAAAGCGGTAGGATGTGATAACATTTCTCGTTATATGATTGTGACTGTTCTGGATCACCTCCTGCCGGCTATAACCCATATTGTCAACTTTTCCCTGTATTCCGGATCTTTCCCATCCCTATGGCGTAAAGCCTTTGTCCGTCCACTTCCGAAAGTCTCTTCTCCCACTCTTCCTAGTCGATTCCGTCCGATATCCATACTTCCTTTCCTGTCCAAGGTGCTTGAGGCCTGTGTCCACAAACAACTTTCTACTTTCATTTACAGGAATTCACTAGTCAGTCCATTCCAATCGGGCTTCAGACCGGGCCACAGCACTGTTTCCGCCCTCCTTAAAGTGACTGGCGATATTAGAGCTGGCCTTGAGGACACTAAAGCCACAGTCCTGGTTTTGGTAGACTTCTCAAATGCCTTCAATATGGTCAGTCACGATATCCTATTAGCCATCCTATCCCATCTTAAGATCTCTGGCGAGTCACTGGAATGGTTCTCCTCTTATCTTCAGGAGCGCCAGCAGTCGGTCAAGCATGGTGATATGTCATCAGGTTGGCGCGAATTAAAAGCTGGCGTTCCTCAAGGCGGCATACTATCACCTCTCTTGTTCTCCATTTTTATCAATCTTATCACTTCTGACCTTCGGTGTGCGTACCATCTGTATGCAGACGACTTGCAGCTATACTGTCAGGCTGGCTTAGACAGCTTGCCCAATGCCATCTCAAAACTAAACGACGACTTAACTACCATCAAGAACTGGTCTGTACGGTTTGGCATTGCGGTAAACCCGAGCAAGTGCCAAGCTATCGTCATCGGTAGCTCTCGATCTCTATCTAGGGTTGACAGTGCATCCCTGCCAGCTGTCCTTTTCGACGGTGCGATCGTTCCTTTCAGCAGTGACGTTAAAGACCTAGGCTTACACATTGACAAGAATTTAAACTGGAATACACAAGTCACTAGCGTGTGCAAAAAAGTGACCGGTTCGCTGCGGGCCCTTTATCGCGTGAAAAACTTGCTTCCGTCCGTCACCAAGTCGATGCTTGTGCAGGCCTTGTTGTTCCCTATAATAGATTATGCTGATGTTTGTTACTTTGACCTGAATGCAGATCTCCTCAATAAACTTGACCGACTTCTGAATAACTGCATTCGTTTCGTTTTCAACCTGCGCAAATATGATCATGTTTCTGCACATCGGTTGCAATTAAAGTGGTTGCCCATTCGCCAGCGCAGGGAGCAAAGGGCGCTTACCACTCTATTTTCCTTTCACAACTCACCTTGCCTACCTACCTATCTGTCCCCTTATTTCCAATACACCTGCGCAAACCATAGTAAATATCTTCGCTCATCTAATAATCGTCTCCTCAACTGTCCAACTCATCACTCAAAATTTCTTCACTCCTCCTTTTTTGTTCAGGCTATTCTTCTGTGGAATGCGCTACCCCCCGATGTCAGTACTGTGACTGGTCGGCTGACATTCAAGCAGAGAGTTCGGGAGCTTCTTCTGAGGAGGGTTAGGGAGTCATCGTGATCACGACTACATTTATATATATATATGTATGTATGTATGTATTTATATGTGTAAGTATATTAGGTAGTATGTGTTTTATAATATATATAAGTATAGTTCTATGTACTTTATGTATGTTTATATAAACCTATGTTATACTATTCTATTTCGCTTGCTTCTTGCATCTACTACTGGATTCTCTGCATCACCCAAAGGTCGACTGGTAGAGAATGCTCAATGCATTAAGTCCGCCTTATGTACAAATAAATTGTGCATGAAGTAAATAAATAAATAAATAAATAAAGACAATAGGTAGTAGGTGCCTAAGTATTTTTTATATGAGCCATCAAATTATTCCAAAATCACTGTTAATCACTGTTAAGTCGTGATCAACATTATATATGTATAATATCTGTATCTGTGACAACACCGAGACGATGAAGTCTGAGGTCCATAGAAAATATATAGATATTGTTTCCTATTATATATATTCCTTGCTCCCGCAATGAAATTATAATACACCTGTTAGCGACCCGACCCGGTTTCGCACGGGTGCAATACTGATACTAAATTTCTACACTTTTTAATGGATGTTATTATACCTACATACCACTGTTTCTTTGATTTTTTTATGTACTAGGTCGGCGCATACGAGCAGACGGATTACCTGATGGTAAGCAATCACCACCGCCCATGGACACTCGCAACGAAGGAGTTACGAGTGCGTTGTCGACCTTTTAGGGATTAGGGATTTGGAGATTTAGGGATTGGGGGAGGGGAAGGATTGGGCTTCCGGTAACCTCACTCACACGGCGGAACACCACGCTGTGGTTATTTTACGCCGGTATTCTGTGAGGCCGTTGTATCACTCCGGTCGAGCCGACCCACACTTAGCTATGATAAATGGTACTACTACCTATTAAACAACCGCATCAAAATCCGTTGCGCAGTTTCAAAGATTTAAGCATACTTACACAGGAATATGGGGCAGAGAAAGTGATTATGTTTTATAGTATGTAGTGATTCCTCAAGATATGATTAAATGAAAATAAATTGAGTTTTTGCTTGGATATACCTGAATAAAATAAAATCTATTTAAAAATCAATGCCACTTTCCCTTGTAATGCTATAACTCAACAACGCTTTTCCCGATTTATCTAATGTTGAATTGTCATGAATTATTCGTGGAAGTCCAGAAAAAGTTTGTATGTACCTAGATTTTTTTGTTTTTGAAAAAGTGTAACATCGACATCTACCCCGTCGGAGTTGCCGGCGATCGCTAGTATACATATAGTATTAGTAGTATTATTTTCGTTATTATTTCTTTTTTTTATTTTCGCCTGTGATACTGTGCCCTTAATTCACGGCAATTCACTATATCTTTTCTCATATATATTGTACCGAGTAAAATAAAAACAAATCTAAAGTTTAGTAGATTCTAAAGTTACAAAACTTTTTTGGAAACTTTGAAGTTTGCTTTGACATTTCATCATGTTTCCTCATTGTTTCTAAAGTTTAAGTTAGGTAACGTTCACTTTTATCCAATCTTCTGATACAACGGTTAAAAGTCGTAAGATTTTTATACATTTTAAGAAAATAAAAAATTAAATTTAGCAAAAACTGCTGTAATGGAAATGTATAGTTTGATTGGAACAGATTTCAAAAATATATATAAATAATTGTTTCGAATATTTTGAACGTACCGAAAGTTATAGTATATACCCTTAGTATGAAGTGATGGTGGAGTTTATGGAAAGGTAAGCAAGTATTAATTCATATCTTTTAAGTTATTGAATGTTTCTTAATACTAGTTTTAATTCTTCAACATCAAGTTCTAATTTTTCGTGTATTTTACATATATTTTAGAAATGGAGACCTTAAAAAGCCTGCTGGTGGTCCTCACGGCAGGCTTAGCGGCGTCTCCAAGTGGGAGGAGCTCGCTAAGGTGCTTAACATTGATCCCACCGAAAGTTCGAAACCGGTGGACAAATGGAAAGAGGTACAACAATAATCAAAATTATATTATTATAAAGGAATATATATAATTTGACTGCGCGGTTGGCGCGGTGGCTGGGCAACTGGCTGCAGCGCAACGTGTCGCGGGTTCGATTCCCGCACGGAACAACTCTTTGTGTGATCCACAGATTGTTGTTCCGGGTCTGGGTGTGATGTGCATGTGAAATTGTATGTTTGTAAACGCACCTACGACACAGGAGAAAATCCTAATGTGGGGCAACGTTTTTTTTAAAAAAAAAAAAAAAAAAAAAAAAAAAAAGGCTTCCCATAAAGCCAGCATTTAGTTAATTCATTCAATCGAGACAATTTCGATGTTAAATGCTACTTATACAAGAGTTATCTGTGCTTAATAATTTACTTGCTTTACATTTGCCATTGTATTATAATAGTTAATAAGTATGTTTTCTTTGCACGAAATAGGTGTGGAGTGACCTAAAAAACAAATACTAACTGGTGGTGGTCCAGCTTTAAAAGTTTGCATCACCAACCAGTACCCTTAGTATGAGTTTCCCCAGCGACAAGACATAAGGCTTCAAGCATAAAAGACTGCGCAACTGAGAAAGGCCTACTCGCCAAAAACCACGGAAACTAAGCGGGTCTTTAAGTTGTATAGAGAGCAATAGTTTACGTACTTTACTCAAGATTGGAATCTGCTCAGCGGAACTTTACGCGATACCATTATGAATTGAGATGCAAAAGGTACCACTTACTACCACTTGAGGAGAGAAGAGATGGTTGCGGGGTAAGCGCAATGAGGCACCGCGACCTCGGCCTAGAGCAGGAGAAGGAACAGGGGGGTTTTAGTCAGTAAGAGTCTGACACTCCCTCCACACGGAGAAGAAGTCATTTGCTGATTTTCCCCTCACAAAAGAAGAAAAAAAAGATATATCGGACCTCTCTTTTCTCGTCAAATTAGCACAATCCTATATCGACGCTCCGCAACTTCTCTACAAAATTAATTTTCGCGTCCCCACTAGATCTTCTCTAACACCCTTCCTTCTTCTTAACTTTCTCCGTTGCTACACCAACTACAGACAGAATATGTTCTTTGCAAGATGCGCAAAATCCTACAATAATCTGGTCTCACTTTTCCGAACTCGATTTATTAGTTACTAAGCCTCATCAATTCAATCAATTGCTTACAATATATTGGTTCGACAACTGTTCTATTTTGCAGTTTCAGACTTGGCTAATAATAGGTCCTATGAAATTGCCGTTTTGCATGAAAAAATTTAAACGAATTCTTTAATTTGAAATGCGATGAAAATGTAACACTAATCAATAAACAAATGACTACTTTTGGAAAAAGAATCCCATTTTTTTTAAAACAAAATTAATTAGCCTTAGCCTAACAAAAACTATTTTGATTTGAAATGACCAGTACTGCAGAACGGCGATTTCATAGGTAAAGACCTATTATAATAGTGTAACAACGTAATTTTCTTTTTTTTACTCATTTTTCCACTTTCAAGCATGCTCTTTATAGATAACTAAATGCGAAAACATGTCATTGGTTAATAGTTGTATAAGTCATTACTTTTGTTAGTTGTAAATACTGTATGTTTTCCGTTCTCAATAAAAATAAAATAAAATAAATAAATAAAATACGCCAACGCCTCTAAGTTAACGTACGGAAGTATGTTAATGGTTCAATAAGTTCCATATATTAAATAAATAAAACCTGATAAAACAATTGAATTATGTAACACTAGCGATCCGCCCCGGACTCGCACCGGTGCAACTCTAATACAAAATTTTCCCACTATTTTATTTACTGTTGTTATTATACATTTAAACCAACCTCTTTGATCATAACTATATATTAAAAAAACTGCAATAAAACCCGTTGCAACGTTTTAAAGATTTAAGTTTAACGTTTTAAGGATATAGGGACAGAGAAAGCGACTTTATTTTATACTATGTAGTAATTAGCGTTAAAATCACTTACCTCTTCAGAAAAGTGAATTTGAAAAGGTCTGATACTTGTATCATTATTGTACTTCAAATGCGTGGGTCCCCACCATTCGTGTTCCAAACGGGGCACCTTTGGGGTTCTGAAAAACTCTATACTATTCACTTTGAAAATTTGTAAAAAAAACACAATGTATTTGTAAAATTTTTGCATTTTTTTTTCTGTGTTATGTAAATAAATACAACCGTCGCGTTCGATTTTCAACGCAATTGTGGTTTCCGTTTCGCGTCACATACAAATGACTAGCCTTGCGACTTCTCTTCTGTAATACGTTTAATTAAGGCTGGGGCTAATTGTAAGGTAAAAATATTGTTTTGTATGTAATTTCTTTATTAGATATATTAAACAGCAGCAAACTAGTAGACGGATTACCTGATGGTAAGTAATCGGCGCCGTCCATGGACACCTACAACACAAGAAAAGTTACAAGTGCGTTTCCAGTCTTTTGGGGATAAGGAGCTCAGGGGAGTTAGGCGAAGGGAAGGATTGGACCTCGGGTAACGTCACGCACACGGCAAAAAGCAATTCTGTAGTTGTTTCACGCCGGTTTTCTGTGAAGCCTGCTTCTTTCTTAATCACGACACGGTGGATATACATGGATATGTCACTAAATGGGTGCCGAAGCTTGGTTAAAAAAAATAAGTTTTATCTAGTCAATAAATAATACTAGATTACCTAAGGTCTATACATTATGTGCATTTTATAAATGCAAAGAAAAGATCATATATGGTCGAATTGAGATAACTGCTAATTTTGGAAACAAAAATAAAAAAAACAAAACATTCGAAATTCATAATTCATAATTATTCACCAAAAACATTAATATATTTTTGGTAAAATAAATATGTGAACAACTTCGCAAATCGTCCTTGGTACAGTAAGATCGCGAGAGTGGCTACGAATATGAACTATGTCGTAAAATTAATAAGCGAAATTAATTACTTACTGAATATCTATTGTAATGGTTTTATAATTTGAAATTATTACGTTTTAACTGAGGAAATTATCAATTTTTATTCCGTAATATTTTTTTATACTTTTATTTTTATTTTACGTGAGCATTGGGTACCTGATGGAAAGCAAGCAGCGTCGCCCATGGATATCCGCAACAACAGAGGAGTTACGAGTGTGTTGCTTATTTGCCTAGCCCTTTTTTTATGTAATAAGTCGGCAAACGAGCATTCGGATTACCTGATGGTAAGCAATCAACGCCGCCCATGGACACCCGCAACGGAGGAGTTACGAGTGCGTTGCCGACCTTTTAGGGATTAGGGATTTGGAGACCCAGGGATTGGGGAAGGGTCCGGGAAGGGGAAGGATTGGGCCTCCGGTAACCTCACTCACACGGCGAAACACAACGCTGTGGTTGTTTCACGCCGGTTTTCTGTGAGGCCGTGGTATCACTCCGGTCGAGCCGACCCATTCCCGCTGAAGCACGGCTCTCCCACACTTAAAGCCTTTTGGGGATTCAAGTTTTGTAGATTCATCATGCTGGTTTTGTGTGAGGCCGTGGTATTACTCCGGTCGGGCCGACCCATTCGTGCCGACGTATTGTCTCGCACTCCTAATATGTACCTATTAGTTTCAATTATTTTCCTTTTTAAGGAGCAAAAAATAAATAGATAAAATTAATATTTAGACTGCACGGTTGACGCGGTGACTGGATAACCGGCTACCATGCTAATTGTTATATGTTTTTAAACGCACCCAAGACAAAGAAAATACGCCTAGTGTAGGGCAACGTTTTTATAAAAAACATTCTTTAGGTTTTTCAAGTACCGTTATTATTATTATCATCAGCCTATAAGTGCCCACTGCTTAGCAAAGGCCTATTCTCACACGGAGAAGGTTTGAGCATTAATCACCACGCTTGCTCAATGCTTGTTGGCGATATCAAACTTATATTATAAGTCCAGGTTTCCTCACGATGTTTACCTTCACCGTATGTCAGTGGTGTCTAAATAATTATAGAAAGTACATATAAATAGGAAAAAGTCACATTGGTACTTGGCAGGTTTCGAGCTCCTCATACATGAGAAGTGGGCTCCTTAAACACCGGGCCACCACGACACTCAAGTACCTACTGTACAGCACGTCGATTCTATAAAATTTGTTTGATTTTGAATCGTGTTCGAGTGCGAAGTGAGCGTCGAAGTGACGGGTAAATTAAATTTTTGAATGCCACTTTTAACGTCATTTCATACTTTATCTTTCAAAATGATGCTGTCAATTTAGTTCAACTCGCAAGTGTAACACTAGTATACTACTACTCACGGCGGATTCAGATTCGAAGTTTAGATTGAAGTCTTACAGAATCACACTGCAGGTATTTAAGTTGTATAAACAGAAACAGTGTTCGGACGTACACACATTGTTTCTATTTGACTATGTAGGTAGAACACTGATAACCTTTGTCATACGTTATCAAACGTTACCGATAGGTATACCTATTTATAAAGATGTACATTGACACAATTCCAATTGCCATGGTAATACTTGTTTTATGTAATAATAGGTCGATGCACGAGCAGACGGATTACCTGATTGTAAGCAATCAGCGCCGCCCTTGGACATCCGCAACGGAGGAGTTACGAGTGCCTTGTCGAGCTTTTAGGGATTAGGGTTTTGGAGATTTAGGGGTGGGGAGGGATCGGGGGAGGGGAAGGTTTGGGCCTCCGGTAACCTCACTCACACGGAGAAACACAACGGTTGTTTCACGCCGGTTTCCTGTGAGGCCGTGGCCGACCATTTGTGCCGTAGCATGGCTCTCCCACACTTAAAACCTACCAGACCTACGATCCGCTGATGTATAAAAGTGTATTTCTAAAAATAAACATCATATAATATCCTTTATCTTTATCACTGGTTTTTAATTATTATGTGTTAGACGATATGTGCAATGTACATATAAATACATATTACAGTTTACAGGCTGAAATAATTATACCGGTTTCATCAATAAAAGTAGGTATTGACCTAAAAATACGAACAAATGAAAATGTAGTGTTCTTGATATTGAGAAGCGAGTGTTCGGCGCGAAAAGTTCCGCGTGCGCCTCAAAGAGCCAATAAAATAGACCATTATATAGACGGGGCCCAACAGGGCTGATGAACAACCGGGGTTGCGGGTCAAGCGCAAAGACTGATAACTTGATGTCCTGATAGTCACCCGCACACGCAGCAAAATACCGCTGTGTTGTTTCACGCCGGTTTTCTGTGACGCAGTGGTATCACTCCGGTGGAGCCGACCCATTCGTGCCGAAGCTTGGCTCTCCCACACTTGACAAATACTAAGCGAATTCTCCTTTTCAACTTCTACCGATTGAAAATGTGTGCCACGAAATCAAAACTTAAATTTAGATTAAAAAATTACAGTAAACAAAGAAAATCAACAGGTACATTAAAATTGAAAAACATCTATGAACGCATGCTGTATTCGTTACAGGAAATAGACATTAGGACTATTTTTTCAGATAATTCCGCAATTGTAACGGGTGCCGGAGCCTGCACGGTCAAGATAACATCGGCATAATTTGTTCAGAGAGAAAAACTTTTAAATCTCTCATCATGGAGTTTTAATTAAACACGGATACAGATTAGCAATTTCCATCGCTAATAACTGTGGACTGACATTTTTCGGGTATTAATTTTTTTTGCTAAGGGCTGTATTTTCAATAGTCAGATAAAAGTTATCTGAGGAATAAAATTGTTGCTGTCACTGTCTTATACAAACATTCTGACGCGACAATATCATAATTATTCTCCAGGTAACTTTTATCGAACCATTGAAAAATAGACCCTAAGACCGGTTAAAAAAACTTTTTCGTATCCGTCTTTTGTTTTAACGGTGTAGAATTTTAAAGAAACAATTCGTGATTCTTTGGAAATATTGGAATGAAATGGTGTCTCCTTGAAACAATCTTAATATAATATTTAACTCGTGTCACAATGTTTGTCCTCAATGGACTCCTAAACCACTTAACCGATTATAATAAAATTCGCACACCATGTGCAGTTCGATCCAACTTGAGAGATAGGATAGTTTAAGTCTCAAATTATAGTTGCAATTTTAATTTATTGCTAATTATAATAATTATAATAACACATGCGTAATATACAAACAAATATTTCATCTCAATATTGACTAACAAACAAACAAAAAAAAAGCCACTCAATCTCAAAACTTTCCCACAAAGCTAATAAACCTACACATAAGTGATAAAATGTTTATTAAGTATAAATAAATTTTGATCTCATTTTGATACTAATACGTTTTTTATCGCCCCTCGCACGTGCATCATTTGTCGGCAGCCATGACACTTGACTAAACACCCTATGGGATCACGGAACCCGCCGTTGAAGGGATAAGCCCCCTAAACGCGTGGTGCCGACGATAATAAAATAATATTATACTTGATTGATAAACACCCTATGTTTAAATCATAATTTGATTTCATTCTGTCTAGTTGACTGGTATGAGAATAATATTGTGCTACCTAAATATTTTTAACGGGGCGTCGAACTCCCCAAAAATGAGAAAGTTATAGATAAAGTTATTTTTTATGTGATAGGTATATGGTAAACGAGCAGCCGAGTAGAGTCGATTGTTCTGTCATAGTTTATAGAGAATATATCTTCTCTTTATACTATGGCCCTGTTGTTGCGGGTATCCATAGGCGGCGCTGATTGCCTGGCATCAGGTAATCCGTCTGCTCGTCTGCCGTCTACCTATCACGTAAAAAAAACGAAACAAAAATAATTGTCAAATTCGAACCAGGAGTTCTGAAGATCAGTGCGCTCAAACATACTCTTTAGCTTTCTAAGATACAGATCTAGGTGTTATTTAGCACATATTTAGCAAGTCATTACACTGTTCTTAAACAATTTACTTGTAATACCTGTTACAATGTAATTGGCGTATATTTACGTTACACTTAGCGTAATGTAGGTACGTGCCTATATCGCAAGCTGTAGTTTAGTAGGTTGGTAATATTTCTGTGAAATATTGAAATACTATAATTACATACTAGGTATTTGTGGTTAAGCATCGAATTGAAACTGTTGGTGGAAATTATCTGTACTTATACAAACATACCTCATGTTTGTAAGTTTGTATGTAGGGGGTAATCTTTGGAACCACTGGTCTGATTCCCAAAATTCTTTCACTGATAGATAGCTACAATGTTCCCGAGTGCTACAGGCTATAAAACATCACACTATGATCAAATGGAACCGAGCAGCGAGTGAAACCGCGCAGGTGTGGCTAGTTTAAAATAAAGTTGTTAATGATGTGAGTTAAATCAAATTGAGCGTAGATATGATCGTAAGTGCTTATCAATCATAACAAGTCTTAGGTAAAATCATCTTAGTATTCTGTCAATAAGGAATCATTCTTGCGTCCCGTTCCTGCGTCCTTCTTAAGTAGATAATAATCTTGTTCTATTTTTAAATACCTAGTTAACTAGTCGATATTTTGTCAGTTAATACTTACACGTGAGTTAGTCGTAATTTTCAACAAATTAATCATTTTCATTTTGAAGATAATTCAAAACTTATAAAAAGGAAATAGTTGATGCTTACAATTTTTTTTAAAGATATAAGTAGCGACATCTAGTAGTCATCTGTTAACGATACTGTAAATGTAATAAGCGGTAATAACAAGTCTGATTGAACAGCTAGTACCGATATAAGTTCAAGATATATTTAATAGATGGCGCTTAACAAAACAATGAAATATTTATTTAATTTAATTACGGATTTAATTTTGTTTCGGAATTAAAATTAGGTAATGTAATTTACGTCAAAATTATAACCTACTTATTTTAATAAAGTTTTGGTATATGTGTTTTATATTAGTTTTTGGTAGGTTCCTTTTTAAGTTTGCGTATCAATATTTCAAAATGTAGGTAGGTATACTCGGAATTTTAATTCCATTCCAGATTTGACAATTTCAGTGTTGCAACGTTATGACACGTAATAAATAGTGACGTTGCGAAATTATTCGATATGGAAATCGAATATTTCTGAATCGATTCCTCTCGTTTATAAATTTACAGTCGTAAACTAAGTTTATCAGGAAATAAAATATTTTTGAACCGATAATTTTGGTTTTGACAATTTATTAACGATCTGACACTTTTCTTTTGTAATTGTGTGTGAAATTAATAAAAAATGTGATCATGAAGGAACGTGACAAATAAAACAGACATTTTATAAATTGTCGCCGTCATCGCTATCGCTATCGCCGTTACTCTATGTAACATTTATTATGAATTGTGTCTTTGATATTTATTGTCAATTAACATATCTATCTTACCCATTTTTTCCTCTTCTTTGAAAACATGGGATACACATTTAGACACACACTTTAGACTTACACTGTTATATGTGGTATCATTATTTCACAAAATGACAGTGGTCAATGTCAAATCAGGAATCGAATTAAAAGTCTGACTATAGTAGTTTTATAAAAAGAAAATTAATAACTTTAAAATAACTTGAAATTTGGTTTGCGGAAACTGGTTATTTTACATAGATTTATTTTAAATACGATAAATGTGGTCACTTCAGTGCTTACTGGCATTTTTAACTTTATCA